TACAGATTGGATAAATAGTTTGACATTTTGCTAATCCACTTTCATGTTTAAGATTTGATGACTTGATTAATACCACTCTTGTGTCTGTATGCCATATATTCAGCTACAGGCTGGTTAGCTTAGCTAAAACACTGGGAACAGGGGGAGACAGCTGGTATGGCTCTGTCCAAATTCCCATTTCTCCAGCACTAATATACACTATATAGTGTTTCTCACATGATTGGGGGTAGACCTCAGACCCTCTGTATGTTCAAGGAAGACATTTGAACTTAAATTCATACATTTGATGCCCTTTTAGAGCAAAGCTAAGAGGCTGGATCTTTAAAGAACGTTTCGGTCTTGTAGACAATATAATAATTAACACATGCATAGATATAATTGCTGATGAAACGAAAAATAAGTCACAACTACTTAACATGGTACACAAGACTCCTGACGTCTTTTAGGATTGGTCAGTTGGGTTGCTGACATCGCTGTCAGAAGCACCTGAGGTACGAGCAAGAGTTGCTGTAAAGCTTACAACTGAAGATGCAAGCCACCTTCACCTTTCCAAGCCTAATTAAGTGCTGATGGGATCCTCCCACAGCAAGCCACCGTCCTAGACCTGGACAGACTGCATGGCCAACATCCGTTGAGTGTAAAATATGTTTGGTTCATTATGAAGCTTTGGTGGGATGCATGTTAGTTTGACCCGAGAAGAAGCCAAATTGTAAAAACAACATTGTGGTTTTAGGTGTGGTAATATCCCAGATATGTCATCGCTGTAAGATTTTTGGGAAACCAGCAGACTGCAGGAAGTCACTGAACCTAGACATAGTCTGGTACAAAATGAACTGGTGAGCTTTAAAGATGCTGGTAGGCACTACTAGGCAGATTGTATTAGCTTAAGCTGAGCCAGGCTAGCTGTTTCCCCTAGTTTCCAGTCTGTATGCTTAGGTAATCAGTTGCAACAGTTAATCTCAGCAAAGAAGCATATTTCTCAAAATCCCAAATTATTCTTTTAGAGTTTTTCATTTCATGTCTGTGGAAAAAAATAATACTGAACTTTAGCTCCTCCATCAAAGAGAAGTGTTTGGGAAAATCATATTTCAAGCATTGGAAGACACAAGGAAAAGCTCTGTAATGGTGCTAGAAAGTTATGACAAGGTATGCTTGATTCCACTGAACAACTTCCAAGGAATAATCCTCAGGATAACTAATGCATGTTATATGAGCGATACATGAAGAAGGACTTTGTTAGTACCAGCAGCTGTTTTGTCTCTTGTGTGTCTGATCATTTAAGTCACAGACGCAACAGACCTAATTCTTGACACACTCACAAGAAGACCGTCTAATGCGGCTTGTCAGCACCGTGTTAAGCTGTAATGGTCGTACCATAACTTCTCAAAATTGATTGAATTCTCGGTTGTGTTTGTGTTGGCAGGGTCTCCGTCTTTGTGGTTGTGGTCTCTGAGTGGAAAGCAAAGGGCAAGAGGGAAGGCGGAGGAGGGGAGGTTGGAAAGACTGGATGGAGAGAGAAGGAGGAGAGGGTGGTATTCAGAGCATTATGTAAGACATCAAACGGGTCCAGTCTGGCGAGGAGTGTTGATGTGAGAGTTGTGGGCCCCTTGGGTCAGGTGGCCTCTCACATAGCCTCCCATATGGTCGGCATTTCCCCTCATTGCCTCCGCCCTTCTCCTAATTGGCAGGTAATGTATCGTTGCCCTGGCCTATCTTCCCCTCCGTCACTGTTATTCTTCTCTGTTATTAATGGGAGGCGTAGCGGTGTGGTGGTGATGGTGGTGGAGGTGATAGTGGCTCTGGGCTTGGCACCGTGCCACAGAGGGGCCCCAGCGCTGACACTTTATACAGCGGCAGGTTTTACCAAGGTGTTCATTTCAGGAGCGTCTCCTCCGCCTCAGCTTCTTCCCTTTCTTCTCCCCTCGGCCGTGGAAGGTAAATCAAAGCTGGGAGCTGATACTCGACCTTTATTCAATCTGTGGTTACAACCCACAGTTGTTACATACAGATGGACACACACATGACTACAGGCTTGTTTGCATGCACACACGTACTGTATATGTGTGTGTTCTCCTCCATTCATCACCTCTCACCATGTTGTCCTACAGTGCAGGCTTTTCTTTCCCTCTCCCACTCATAACCAGCCAGGCAGCTTATTTTACAGCCTCTCTGCTCCAGTCACTGCTAAGCATAACAATACACCAGCAGACATGTGTTTGTCATAAACTGCGAGGCTAGAAGTTAAATTACAATCGTTTACACTTTGAACGAGGTTCAAAAAGAATCATTGTACACCGCATTTAATCATGTGTTGCACTTTATGTTCATAATTCTCTTGTACTTTTCCACTGCTGCCGGTCAGTATACGCTTAACTACAACAAAACAACATGGACCAATCGACCTAAGTAGGCCTGTTAGTAGCAGTAAATGCCAAACCCTGTTTGTTATGCCTCACAGGCCAAGTCTCTCACTGCAGCGACTCCATGTAAGGGCCTGGAGCTCCGCTTTAACCAGATTTCAGGTTAGCAAGCTGCTACAGAAATGACAGTAGCAACATGAGCCCGGCTGAGTTCATCAGGCCTTTGTGAGGAACATAAATGTCCGTAGGATTTCGCTTACATCCTGTGTTGCGGATCAAGCCAACATTACCGTCTGGTGCACATGGAAGAGCTCAATTACATAACTTAAGACTTTCATTAGCCTCTCCGCTCCATTGAGTTCTCTGGGAAAGGTCCAGATGTGACTTCATGAAGGGCCCTCTATGCAGAGCCTGTTCGCTCTGTTCCGCTATTCCCCCCCCCCTCTCCTTCTCCATCCCTGCAGCTGTAAGCACTCAGAGGAAAAGCAGCGAGAGAGGGGAGGGAGAGCTTTATTAAAAAAATCAGACACCCCATAGACCCCCCAATCTCCCCTTCAAAACAGTCCCAGCCCCACCCAGAGCAGGCCTATGGTCCCCTGGCCTCCCATAGGTCTTCTAAAGTAGGCTAATAAGTCTTTTAGCATGTGGTCCCCCTGTCGGCCCGAGGTGGCCGACTAGACAGGCTGCTGCTCCAGGCTCGGGGCAGGAAGTGGAGCCGGCCAGGAGACACTCTCTGAGAGGCTGCCCAAGTAAACAACCCTCCCCCCTTCAGCACACATGCTCATACACATCCGTATGTGTTTGTATGCCCATACACATTCGGATGTGTTTACATATGCGGCAGATTTGAACATATACACACACACACACTTGATGCGTCACCTCCAGAAACACTGACATCCTTTTACCAGGAAACTTGTGTGCCACTGTCTCACTGTTAATATCAAGATGCTTCGTGGATGACGTTAATTTATCTCAGGCTTTTGGTTTGGCTGCCACCACAATGTCCTTTTAAAACTCAACACTGGAAATCGTTGAAAGCCTAAGTCTAATCAAATTAATGGCTGTGTTGTTTGATAGCGTGTGTGCAAAGCATGAGTTTGTACAGCTGTGTGTGCGCCACTGTGGAACGTCATACCAAAGTCCTATGGCAAAACATCAATTTCTGCCTTAAAGGGGTAGTTTGTTCTACACACTGTTGGGGTTTGATATCCACGACACATGATTGTGGGTGAGCGTCGTGGTCATGATGGTTTTCAACACCAGGGCAGCTGGTTGTGTGACTGTTTCTGGGAAGACATCGGACACAGGTGGGGAATCAGTTAGGGCTGTGATTTATAGAAATCTCCGCTGCCTCGCATTGTGCTGCGGCCTTCCTCTGGGCCGCAGCCTGCTCTCACACACCATGTTCCCCTGTTATTCCTTGACTCGGATGACAATGATGCCTGAGTGGAAAACCCAGATGATTTCCCCTCGGAGAACAAATATATTATTTTCCACGCAACGAGCTATTGTGTAGGTGGTTTAGTCTTCTTCAGGGGCTGTTGATGACCCATGCAAAGCTGTGTAGAAGTCTTATGGGGCAAGTCGAAGTCTAAAACCATCAAAACCAATCTCAAATCAACTCTCCAGTCCTCAAATGATACAAGTCTTCATAAGCAAATTCCTATTGTATTTCATACTTGTGAACAGCTATACATGTCCCCAAGAGTCTCTTGCTCTTAGGTCACAGTAAAGCTGAAAACCTGTGGCTTTTACAATGTACTATAGCTAGCGTTCACACAAATCAATAGGGCTATAGCAGCAAAATACACTTTGTTCTAGTAGCATACGAGTCATAAAGTGATAAAAATAAAAACATACCCTGTCATTTTAGTTACTCAACAAATATATTAAGTCAATCTTTAACATTTGCTAACATTAGCCACCATAAACTATACCAGATCAAATAAGGCTGTTTCAGAAAAACATCTAAGAGTATTGAATTGAGAAATTGTGTTTTATTGCTTATGACTTAAATTGTACTTCTTGAGTTATGTACAAAGTGAATATAAAGAATAAATAATGATAAGATATGATTATGCTAAGGTAGCTTTATTATGGACAAGCAGGCAGTAGCCAAAATATAATGTGCAGGTATAAGACTGAATACAAACAGTGATATGGAAATTAATACACCAGGGAGGTAGGGACGGCCATTGGTCAAATGACTAAGTGTTATCAGTCATTTAAACGTTATATGTTATTGTTCAAGTCTAGGCACAACCAAAGTCATCATGTTGGTGGTTTGAATATGACTCAAATCTCAAGTTTCAATTCTCAAATCCAAACTCACAGCTGAGCTCTAATAATAATTAAAACTGCGGTCGCACTTGTGCGCGCAGTGATGAGCTGGCCCTCGCGTCCGTGCGCCTGTCGGGGAGGGCAGCCGGTAGTCCCGGCGTCAAGCAGACGCGCGCGAGTCCTGGGAAATCAGCCGTTTCTCATTTCTATAATTTTCGCGTCCCAGACTCCCAGGTACTCCGGCAGCGACCCGGAAACGGATGTCGGTGTGCCGTCTCGAAGGAAAACAAATGTCTCTAAAGGCTCGTCGAGGATCGATTATCGAGGTGGCTGTCTGGAGGAGCGTAACCGAGGATACACTGATTTAGAGGAGAGAGGAGTGTCTCTAGAGGAGCTATAACCGAGGGTACACTGAAGTATTCTCCTGAGACGATTTCAGCCAACAGTGATGTTTAAAAGAGATGTGACGCATGGCTGGACTTCTGTCAACGAAGCACAGCTCTGCAAACTGTTCCCGTTGTGATTATAAGTTATTTGAGATGATCAAATGTGCATCAGACTTTCTGCCCTTTACCGTTTGTTTACTCACTAATCACATCTCCCCTGGATGTTAGGTGATGTTACAGTGAGAACAGCTGCTGAGGTCAGTGCAGAAAGCAGAACAGTGTGTATAATATATATCGCTCACTACTAAATGTAACATGCCTACATTTCACATTTTATTTGTAGGCTTTAGGAGATATCTACAAATACATAGGGTTAGGGTTAGGGAGTGTATAGGTGTCTGTTGTAATGAATATGCCGCCAGCAAAGGGTGTTGTTGGACTAACAGTAGGTGTGTGTGTGTGTGTTGATGTGTGTTCGTTGATGTGTGTGTGTGTGTGTGTGTGTGTGTGTGTGTGTGTGTGTGTGTGTGTGTGTGTGTGTGTGTGTGTGTGTGTGTGTGTGTGTGTGTGTGTGTGTGTGTGTGTGTGTGTGTGTGTGTGTGTGTGTGTGTGTGTGTGTGTGTGTGTGTTGATGTGCCAGGCAGACAGGCAGGCCTCAGTAGCTTATCTGACATATAATTGGTAAAAAATGGTACATTCTCCGTTAGCCTACGAGCTCCCCGTTAGAGCGAAGGACTATTCCTTCTCAATGTAGCAGGACATTGGATATGCGCTGAAGTTGTCCTGGATTGGAATTTTTCCGATCATTCCCCTATGAGGAGTTTGCAGAAATGTCCTTAAAATGCATGAAAAACGCACATTTTTCAAAATGGCTGACTTTCTGGGGGGCGGGGCTAATGGAAGGCAATTCGAAATATGTGTGCAATTATAATAGCAATATGTATACAGCGTTTCGTGAATATTGGAAAAACTATACGTGAGTAGTTTGGAGTCATTTGGAGTCATTTGTGGCATGTAAATCGTAAAAAATGGTGTATTCGCTGTTAGCTTACGACCTCCACGATTGAGCTATCACAAATGTTCTTCTCAATTTAGCATCATATTGGATAGGGGCTGAACTTGTGCTGGATTTGAATTTTTCCGATCATTCCCCTAGGAGGAGTTTGCAAGAATGTGCTTAAAATGCATGAAAAACGCAAATTTTTCTAAATGGCCGACTTCCTGGGGGGCGGGGCTAATGGAAGGCAATTTGAAATATGTGTGCAATCATAATAGCAATATGTATACAGCGTTTCGTGAATATTGGAAAAAGTATACGCGAGTAGTTTGGAGTAATTTGTGACATGTAAATCGTCAAAAATGGTGTATTCGCTGTTAGCTTACAACCTCCACGAGTGGTTTTTCAAAAAATGTGCTCCTCAATTAAGTATCATATTGGATAGGGGCTAAATCTGTCCTGCATTGGAATTTTTCTGATCATTCCCCTAGGAGGAGTGCGCAAGAACGTGCGTAAAATGGCTGAAAAACGCACATTTTTCAAAATGGCCGACTTTTTGGGGGGCGGGGCTAATAGAATGTGTGTACAAATATGTCCGCAATTCCAGGAGAAATGTCTGAGTGTGTCCCAAGTTTTGCGTTCGAAGTTCATTTTATGCTATCGCAATTTAAAAAAAATGTATAGGCCACGCCCACATTCTGCATTTGTTGCGACACTTTAATTCTGAGTTCGTAGTCACCCCGAGAGTATGTGTAAAAAAAAAAAAAATAATTCGTCCATCCGCTCTTGAGTTATAAATTGGAGGTGTTTTTGGCGCCCCCTATAGTCCTAAATGAAAATTATTTGGTGTGCCTATTTCCCAAGACAGACTGAACCTTTCTACCAAAATCTGTGGTGAATGGATACATTGTTGATGAGTTATGAGCATTTATTTATAAGTCCCGCCTTTTTGCGAGTACGTTTTAATTAATGGCGGAAATATTTATCGTTTGAACATGCTCATCTCCTAGGGTAATGTGTCTGACCCTCCACCGATGCTGTATACAAAGTTTGGTGTTGAGAAACTGGAAATTTTAATTTTAATGAATATTTAACTGTTTATGTCAATTATGCTAATAAAAAAAAAAAATGTAGGCGGAGCTTAGGGTTCCAAGAGAATTATTTCTAGAGCAGGTCCTCCCGGATATGTGTGCAACATTTCAGGTCATTCGGAGTTACGATGCGACTTTGTAAATTTATTCCGAAATAGGTTTTTCATAGGTGGCGCTAGCGAGCACGTTGGACAATTTGAACTCATTGACTCCAGAATAATGTATTTTTCACCAGTCCTGGCGTCTGTGCAAAATTATACAACTTTTGAACCGTCCTAAAGGCCTCAAAAACAGGAAACGCCAGCAGAAAAATAATAATAGGAATAATTCCACCAATAACAATAGGTTCCTCGCACTTCATGCTAGGACGCCGTTGGGTCCTAGCGCTCCGTGCTCGGGCCCTAATAATAATCTTAAATTGACTAAACTGTCTGTCACCCTGTGGTAAAGTTAACAGCAAGTCTCTGACAGAAACAGCACACCACAGTGTACCCTCAGTTTTGGATGGTTGGTTTGCTAATATCCTGACACCACCATTTCTAAAGACCTTTGTGTAAAGTTACGCTCTAATCCTTTTTTTCCTGCCTCCCTGTGCGAGTGCATGTTGCAGCAGGTTAGCAGAGGAGGCTGGAGGGTGAACGTAGGACAGGTTTTTTAGGCTGGGCCATATCTTCATGGAAGACTTTGAGAAATCTGACTTTGCTGAGGTTTTTTCTATATTTCTCAATCATTAGGAGCTAACGTATGTCCCTTAGGGAACCCAATATCAACTGTTAAATGTACCTTTTCATGGAGGCTGCTGTTCTGTGTGTTCAGACAAATAAGCGAGCTGGAGCTTGCATGCACGTACGCCTCGTATGTGTGTGTGTGTGTGTGTGTGTGTGTGTGTGTGTGTGTGTGTGTGTGTACTTGCATGTTCCTGTGTGTGTGTATTTCTTAGTGAGTGGGTTTGAGAGCTGCGGTTTCTCACAGTCAGTTTTTATCTTCGTCTCTCTGAGCATCAGCCAGCAGATCATTGTGAAATACACACACACACACACACACACACACACACACACACACGCACACGCACACGCACACACACACATTGAAAGAGAGACGGGGATACAGAGTTCACTTTTAACTATTCCCTAACCTCCGAAGGCCATATATCTAGGCCTGTTTACAACTCAAACAAAAAAAACGATACAGACATAGTTATATTAGCAGGAGAGTTACTCCCAGTGTCACATTTTCTTTTGGCCTTGAAGCTGTTTCATCACGTTTTCTTTTTTTCATTTTGGAATTTTCATCGACATCATGTGACTGCGTTGAGTGGGAGATTCCTGATATGGTAACGTGTGTTTAGCAAAGAGTTGGCCTCGGTACAAGACGGAGCAAGGACTTCCTGTAAAGCTATCACTGATGTCATTTTCTCTCTGCTCGTACCTTTAAAAGGCCTCAGTGACTCAAAGCAGCTGTTAGTCAACTCCACAGGAATCGTGGGCCAGTGCCCATGTGTAGGCGGGCAGGGGTGTAGGAGTGTGTTTATTTATACATAAATATGTCATGTCGGCTGAGCCATATAAATCAGTATTGAAATGTTCAGAAACTGATAACTGCGTTTAAGAAGTGAGAAAGAGGTTGCTTTCCACCAGAGGAAACAGATGCTGTAAAATCATGTGGGAGGAAACGCTGTTTTTAGCATTAGCATTTTTCACTAGGCAAATGCTAACCTCAGTAAGTATCATGCATCACATACATGTTACTACAGGTTAGCCACTTGTATTTAGAAATTAAGACAGACAAAGACAAACTACCACTATTACCAAACTATTCATCCATCAGGGTTACAGACAATCTTTTTGGTTAAACTTTGACCTACCATACTTGCTTAGTTGTGTTTTCTTGAGTAATAAGGGAACTTTTGTTTTTACCTCTAAGTAAAGTGGTTGATATTTGTGGTTTAGTCAGCAGACTGGTTCCCAACAACGGGATTTCTGGGGTAGGAATTGGTGATTTTATATAGGCCCACCAGAGAAAGGTTTAAAGGTCTGTCCTGTAACGGCATGTCAACGTTTTGATCCGTGTGACAGACACATGTCTTGTTGAGCAAGAAACTGAGCCCATACCTGCATATGTTGATGTATTAATAATATGTGTCAAAGATATGACTTCACCATTCCCAGCAGGTGTTGCTCTGCTAATGCAGCCCACTTCTCTAACTTAGGGCCATGATGTTGAGAGTCATGAGGCAGGAAGCGTTAAGAGGTTCAGTCCTCTGGAGAGCTGAGGGAGAGACTCACTCGGCCCAGTGGACCAGAAACCCAAAAGCACAACAGTGTCAGGTTCGGGACGGGCTCTCCCATTGGCCGGTCTTCGTCTCCTGTTTCCACTTGGGCCACTATCTCGTTAGGAAAAAATCATCGCTTGTCCATTAGCGCGGGGCTCTGCGAGAGTTTAGTGGCTCTGTGTTTGTTTTTCTGTCAAACTAAGGAGTGGAAGGGTGTGTTTCCACAACCTGTCAGACGGCCATCACAGCGCTCTCCTCCGAAGCCTCCTCACCTCTCTGCTCCTCTGCTCAACACATATGTGTTTTCTCTCCTTTTCTTTTACAGGTCAAGGGTTGCCACTTAGACCAGCAGAAGAAAAGCACATGTGACACTGGATCCCGGCAGGGCTAATGGTCATTACTCGGTAAGCAGTGTGTCATGGCCTCAGTCGCGTAGATAATAGGTCTGGGTTAAACCCACAGGATCAGGGAGTGGTTGTGACTGTTGTCTTTGTTGATCTGCAATCAGTCTCACTGTGACACATATGGCTGTAGACCTGCAGAGATAAAGCCTGTCGTTCCGCTGCAGGCTGCACAGAAATCTGCATGACTGGGAAGTAAAGTGTTACATGCACTGAGATTAAAGTAAGATTACTAAAAGGCTACCCGTGAAAGCTGACAGTTGCTAAATCGTTATCAGATGTGATATTTTGAGAAACAAGTGATTCACCAGAGACATGCATGTGGGGGGAAATGGTGAGGTTAGAAATAGGACAACACTCATAACCCGAAGGCTGCTCTACCCCACTTCAATACAATATTTAGCATATTGAATTTAATTCTAAACTAACTTATTTTTAAAGATATTCCACTTCCTCTGTCCCTCCAGAAGGCAAACTTTCCAAACAATGATACAAAAGCTACAGGCTGATAATAGTCAGGAAGGGATTAGAGACGGGATGAGAAGGCCTCTTGTTAACACAAATTATAAAACACATCCCCATAATTAATTTAGGAATTTCATTGTTTTGGAAAACAGAACACAATCCCACCTGGAAGCAACAGACGAATCGAGCACAGGGAGTTAAAGGCAAGACAGTGAGCTGTGTTTCAATATGAATAGCCTCTACCCATCAGAGGAAGGTTTAGAGGTCTGTAGCAGCAGGTCGAAGGTCAGATCCCTGTGACACACACATGTCCTGTTGAGTATTTAAGCAAGCAACTGACCCCATACCGGCGTAGGACTCATATGTTGATGTAAATATTCAAGATGTATGTCAAAGATATGATTATTCATTGTCACAGCTGCTACACATTTATCTGCTCTAGAAAAGACATCACATACTTATTTTTTCTTTTTTTGTAGTATTTTCTGTAGTATTATTATGTTACTCGGGGGGGTAACAGACAAAATATAAAGGTTTCAGTTCATTACAATATTATTTAAGCCTGGGCGAATTTTATTCTAGCACAGTTAAATTGTATAAAGTAAACATTTTGGGAGATACTTATTACTTTCTTACAAAAAGTTGATGAGAGTCGATAAAATCAATCCAACTTTCATGTCCGTACGGTTTAAGACGTTGCTGTAGCCAGCAGCTGGTGAGCTTTGCTTAGCTTAAAGACAGGAAACAAGGGGAATCAGCTAAGTTGTTTAATGTTAACAGAGCAAACAGTACAAATTAGTATTTTCTGTTTCACTGAGGGTTATGTGTTGGACTATTTCTAATCGGGTAGCAGTGACTTCCTCATTGGTTTCCTGAATTGGTTCTGATGAAGAAGTGTACCGTCCGGTAGTCAGAAATATAACCCCAGTAAAACACAAAATAGTCATTAAACATTCTTTGATGTGTCTGTAAGTACGGTTTGGAGATGCTAGTTACTGGATTTTGTAACATTTGGGATAGATTCAGGCTAGTTGTTTCCAGTGTTTGTGCTAAGCTAATCATGTGTTGATCTTCTCATCTAAATGCATATTTCCCAAAATGTTGCTTTAAATTCGACCACCATGCACTTCTGTTCCTCCTGGGCTTATGCTCTCACCATGGGTCACTAGAGAGACAATGAATCCCTCCACTGACATTACAAGTGCAGGTTTCAACAAGGAGCATGTTTCTAATGTAGGCTTGTGAGCTCTGGTATTTTGGTGTGTGAAGGATGTTAAACATTCCTGTATGTTTTTCTACAGACAGAGCAGCCTGTGAATGGCCCCGGACCTAACCTCATCACTCAGTGTTGACCTCAACTCTTGTCTGGTGATTAATTATCCCTCCCACATCACCTTGTCACACTGCAGCGATGCAGTCATGCATGTGTCTGCGTCGCTGCAAACCGCTCTCAGCTGTGAGTGCAGATACGGGAAAAAGCACAGTTGGCACATCCAGTACTATTTGCTTACCTCTTTCTCAAACAAAGAGGTAAACCAGCCACTGATAACACATTTTACGAAGTGTACATGCCGCCACATTCTCTTGCTCAACGGCAAGGGTTAAAGGTGAATAAAGATATTGAGAGTAAATCTACACACCTGTTGAGCAGGAAGCAATGAATGAACCGGACACTCTGTCACAGGACTGTTTCCATATTAAAAAAACAACCTGCTGTAAAATGTGATGAAGTAATGGAAGTTTCTTTTTCTCTTTGCCACATATCAAAGAGCAGACGACCCCGCCGCCCTTAGACCTGCTGCTGGAGGTTCAGAAACCCACTTCCTGCTACTTCATCTCAAGGTGCTTCGACACACACCACCACACAAACAGGAAACAGCCCTCTTTTGTGTCCCTCAAACTGCATGCAGTGTACATTCTTCTGTATCAGTGCAGCAAAGTGTGCTTTAGTCATACTTACCTGGTTTAGGTTGATATTTGGAAACCTTTCTATTATATTTGTAGGACAAAATGTTGAGAATTGATTCACTTTGACACAAACTAGGCTTGCACGTTTAATAAAAGGTGATCAAATATGAGCAAAAGTTTATTTACCGAACAATGTCTATAGATTAAAAACATATTCATTCAGTCAGCCAAAAAACGTTTACACAGGTAGAGAAATGTGCAGATTTTCTCCATTCATAGTAATGTTACTTAAGGGTGCGTTCACACCTGCCTTGTATAGTCCGGTTGAATCGAACCCTGGTGCGTTTAGCCGCTTGGTGCGGTTCATTTGGGTCGGTGTGAACACAGTCCGAGACCTCTTAATGTCTGACCAATGGTTGAACAGCATTTCCGTGCACATGACTTGTGTTTAAAGTTTATAGTCCGTTTGAACGAACCGAACCTTCTGAAAAATGAAACAATGTAACAAACGGTGTGCACCAGAGAAGCAGACTATTAGGTGTGAATGCACCCTTAGTCAGCTATATCTTAATTCCTGACCCCTGTGTGAACACTTTCTTCATAACAAATGCACTGTTGCAATAAGGTATTCTTTTGTTATTTCTTCACTACTATTAAAAGGTTACACATGTGTAGTAATTGATTCTGAAAGCTGCTTTTCTACAACTCACTTTTATTGTATTGAATTGTTCCTTCGTCTTCCAAGTGTGTTGTTGATACAATGCAGTGAGGATTTAATGAGCAGTATGTCATGAATTCAGTTTGTTGTCCACATGTAGTTGTATTTTTAGACAACTTATCTGTTTTAATTGACCGGTAGGGGATGTAACAGGGAGGCAGCTTGTTGATAGATGGGGTGATGGATCGGGGCGGGGGTGTTGTTTGTGGAGGGAGTAAAGGAACAAGACAACCATCTAAGCTCCAGGTTCTCTGAAGCAACACAGAGGCCTCCACGGGTCAGCTGTGAGGGGTCAGCACCCACCATTGTGTGGAGGGAAGGGAGTTCCTGTTCCGGCTCATTTTTGCAATCTGAGAGAATATAAACATGGACGCACAGAAGTGTCCGGAGAGCGAAAGCAGAAGCAGTGCGGATGCTGACTGCAGTGTATGAAGGGGAAGCTGCAGTGTGTTGTTACTGAAATCAAATACCACTGCTTATATCAAAGGCAAAATAGATTTATTTATCTATGTACACATTTATAAATGACAACAGGTGTTAATATAAACCGTTTTTTTATCCTATACTTAACTGGAATAGCCTCACATGAGTATTGATGAGTTTATTTGTAACCTCAGGACAACTGATCAGATGACCTCAGCAAATTAAACGTGTTCTTATTCTTAGAAATGTAAAGATTAAAGCGCTCCTGATCAATATTTCTACTGAAACCGGGAGTTTATTGTCTTTGCGTAACCAAAAGTGCTCAGTTTGATCATCCCCAGGTCAATACCCCTGACTGCTCCTCTGTGCACCAATCACTTTCCACAATAGTGAAACTCCCTTTAGTTCTGCATTATGCGGAAAAGCAGCCACTTCTATTTCCCATATTTCACTTTAAATAGAAGATTTGTAAACCGTGTCCTATTATGTAAAGCAGGGATGACACTAAAGTATTATGTTGCTGTGGGCTACCTTCAAGTCATTTTTGTTTCGCTAAAATGTGCATCAATAAGTTTACCACATGAGCTGTTTGCAACTGTTGTTAGCCATGAATTTAGAGAACTATCACTGGATTACTTTGATGCTAAAGACAATTTGACTCGATCATGACTCCAAAGCACACTTTGGAGATATAAGAGTGTATTTCTTTCTATGATTTCTAAGTGGCGTTTTAACTTTAAAACCACCTTTTTAAAACAACTGAATTCCCTGAAGGCCTAATCAGTGTGCCATTGTTCAAATAACACCAAACATAGGGTCCTATGAGAAGTTTAGTTTAAAGTAACTGGATAACATGACACATCTTCATAGCACTGACTAAAGAGTATATTTCAACCACTTAACAGATTTTATAGTCATGCATGCTGTTTTTAATGTGTAGCTTTCAACCCAAAGTACAACACGCAAAACACAGTTTAACTTTTCAAAAATACGGGGTTTATTGACTTAACTGCAATCAATACTTACAAAAGACGGGGGAAAACAGGTTTTCATATAAACTCACAGAATTGCTGTAGTGAAAAAAACATGGCTGAAAAAATACATTCAACTGTTTTACTTTCTTTGTGTCAAAATCCGTGTACCTCTTCCGAACAAGTGAAGGCAACACAGAACAATTGACTTAACAAAAACTTAATTGTCCTCCATTTATCAAATATAAAAAAGGCAGAGAGGCCTTAGCTACCTGGAATGTATTCAAAGAGGCACTTCCAATGGTCAGAGGGGGCCAAACAAGTGCATCAAGCATCCAATCAAATTAAACTTTCCTCCACCCATTTGGTCACAGCTATTGCTTGTAATAACAGACTGGGTTTAAGAACATTACTGACAGAAGACATTCAGAATTACCAGTCTCTTAAATCTCCTCTGATGTGAGCAACCCTTCACTTCTACCATAAACCCAAGTACTGTGAGTAAATACTCTGATCAGAGACAAAAACGGACAAAGTGAATCAATGTGATAGCAGTTAGCTACTGTACTGTCGGATTATTGTCAGGTTTGACGGGGGAAAGATCAGGAATGAATACAAGCCAGTCCAATAAGGAGTAAGAAAAAAAGTACAATAAATAATCAAAACGCAAAACAGCTTGTTGCATTTGTTTTTGTTGCTTTAAATTAAGTTTCATTTTTGACAAAGTGTAGTTGCAGAACAAAAGTCATTGAAGTACAATATATTAAACTGTGAAAAAAAGGAAAACTGACAAAAACGTCTTCACAATCTTTAGATTAATATGGAAGATCATAATTTAACATAAAAGAAAATATATTCTATTGTTCATTATCCAGATAAATACAAAACAAAATTAACAAAAAATGCATATGATCAGCAATAAATATGTTCTGATAAGTTAAATAAGCAGTGACACGCAAACTTTCCATCTGGAACGCTTTTCAAAACAATAATAAACGTAATAACAACATTAATAAAAAATAATTATCAAGTAAAGAAAGCAAAAAAAAGGGATGTAATGAGTACAGAGTGCTCCTCAGAGCAGGTACTAACGTGGGGGAGAAGTAAAGTCAAATAGCTTGGAGATCCGATCTCATCCAGTTGCAGGATGTACAACTGCACCATGGGAAGGCTGGAATTCCCCAGATCAGCGAGGATGAAGGTGGGGGGGGCAGGGTGGAGAGGCGGGACAAAGTCTTACAGGTTTAATGATCAGTTTGATAACAAGACTTCCTTCCCAACAAAAAAAAAGAGCCAGTGACCAGCAACAGGAGGAGAAAACTCAGGAGGGGGGGAACCATAACCAACTTCCAGTTCAAAGTCCTTCCTGCAGACTCACCAAGTCCACAATTACATTAAGACTTGTGAAGAACTGTGACGGGGGGCAAATGAGAAACAACCAAAAACAAACAGTAGTCCATTCACCATAAACACATGCAGAAACCGTCCAGGCACTTTTCATTCTGTTTAAAAACTATTCATATCTTTCAGGGTCTTTATTTTTTTCCATTTTGTCTCAACTCGGTCTGTAAAAACGGCTGTGGTAGATCTTAAGTTACGTTAGTGAACACCCTCTAGCTAGCTCAGGGGAAGTGGTATCGTCGGGGGAGGAGGGGGGAGAAGGTAGAGGGGGCTAGTGCAATGCACTCCCCTTTCCAAGGCCACTTGTGCTGCTACACATTCAAGAACAAATGAAGAAGAAAGAAGAAAAAAACAAGTGGCACCTGGCAAAACAGTCAATTGTTGTTCTCATGATGATTTTCATTGTTCAATTTCCTTTTTTTTGGCACTATGACACATGGAAGGGTACTTTTTAAAACTTGCTGTGCAGATTGACAGGGATGAAATGATAGTTTGAGTTCAGAGAGAGTTCCCTTAATTGGCTGCATGATTTCAATGCTAACAAAGTGTTGTGTGAGGGAAGCTAAGAAAAGGGCAGAGGTAGAGGGGAGTGCCGTGTTCTCTTTGTGTCATCGAACTTAAAGTCACTGGGTGCAGTTTAATCATCAGAGATGGAGAGGCGGCTGAAGATGGGCAGGCGGCGGGTGGTATCCAGCGTGGGGGACTCTGAGCCGCTCAGGCTGCCTCCAGAGCTGCTCTGGTAGCCCTCTTGGTCTGACAGGGAGTCGGAGGGAGGGCCTTTTGTAGACTCGAACATCTGAGGGGACTCCAACATGGGCCTGAAATAGTAAGGTGTGCTTGTTGGAGAGGGAGGTGCAGGGGTGTTGGGCTCTGTGCCCACAGGACCCACGCTGAGGCTGGGCCCGAACAAGTTGGCCAGCTCCTGGCTGGAGTAGGTGAAGGGGTTACTGCTGGGCCAGTCAGGGACCTCATCAGGGAAGAACATGGGTGGAGGGGTGACGGAGGTGGGGCTGTCTCTCAGCCCCCCTGAGCTGGAGAAGCCTGCGAAGCTGTAGCTGTGCTGCAGTCGAGGCCTCTCCATTTTGTTGGAGGAGTTAAGAGGGGAGCACTGCTGGGGGGGTCCTCTGCGCTCCTCAGCATTATGAATAAAATGGCAGCGAGGGCCGTACGGGCAGAACCCGATGGTGTGGAAGGTGCGGCACAGCTCAGTTTTGTATTTAGGGTGGCGGCTCAGGCTGCGCAGTTCATGGATCCCATGAGCAAACTGGCATTTGTCACCATACTTGCAGGAACCGTTCTCCTCGAAGGGCCTGCAAAGCTCCGTCTTGTAGCGGCTGGAGTTCACCTGGCTGCCTCCGGTGGGACTCGCAGGGCCCAGGCACTGTTTGAGGAGCCGCTCGCCCGTCTCAGAGAAGGAGCGGTCGCGCATGCGGTTCTCCTTGTTGTTGCTGGCATTGCCTAGCCCTGAGATGAGTGAGGAGTGGTCCGCTGTCTTCAGGCTGTTCAGAAACTGGTTCTGGTTGAACTTTGTGCTGCTGACAGAGTGCCGCCGCTGGTACACGCCCCCCATCGGGGGAGATCCCACCGCCTTCCTGTCCAGCAGGGCTCCGGTGGGGCTGCAGATGGACACATTAGTGCCAGTGCAAGGGACAGACATGGGATGGTGGGATCCCAGGTTGTTGTTGAAGCTGAGCAGTTTGTTGTTCTGCAAAAGACACAAAGAACACACATCATGAGTACAAAATATTCAACATATTCTCCAGGACTGACAGTCAATGTGGTTCTGATTTTAATGAAAGCTAGTGGGCCAGAAAGAGAAATCTACAGCCTCCTCTTGCATGACTGTGTTCTTTTTGGCTCTGACAACACAAGCGGATACAGGCCTATAGACCAGCAGCTGGTTTGGCAAGTTGCCCTGGTTAGGAATGTGTGCCTGTTTGGTAAATGGAGCAGCAGCACATGAGGCCACAGGGCTGTTAGTGGCTACAAAGAGCCTGCATCATTTGAAAGATAATGAAAGTGGCAAAGCATCCTGCTGAATTACAAGAGAAAACTGATCTGCTATTCAATACACATCCAAACTACAGGAGATAACTGGGTTAGTCACAGATTTACATGAGTTTTACATGCCACCAGAGAAAAATCTACTTAAAAATCCGCGAAGAATAAAAAAAAACCCTGTAATGAAACATGAAAATATATGCAAATGAAAACAGTGCCGTGAAGTTAACTGAGCATTGACCCGTAAACCGTTTTGAAAAAAAGGGATTTCCCAACAAATATTAATCATAGAAACTGTTTTATAGGAGCAATCATAGGTAAAAGCCATAGACTGTATATATAAAAGGTAAAAGCCAGACAAATCTAGTCAATGATTAGCGAGCATGTGGCTGCTTTGTGAAGAGTATTAAAAGTGGCGCTAAACTGCTCTCATGAATCAACTCAAGCTGACGTCTGAAACTGCACCATAACTCATAGGCAAAACTTCATATTAAACTAAAACTGACGTGGCACATGCTGGAAATGAAAGTTTTACATTTCAACAAGTGTTTACACCTAATGTGAAGTTACCAGCATGCTTCGGCACACTCTTAGATACTCTTTCAAAGTAAATAACGATGTTTAGACAGGAAACAACATGCACGAAAAAGCAAACAGTCTTAGCCAAAGAGAGGCGGAAAACAAATCAAGCCCGCAAAACAAAACAAGCCTCCACAGAGCCGAGGGA